GTTTCGTACCTTAGTGTCTTTATTCCTTTGTGGCTAGCTGGCAGTTTGTTACACTGACACACGGCCCTTCGCCCAGCGTATCTACCTAACAAGTTTGCTACCAGGCCAGCTGACGCCTCACCCGCTCATTACAGTTTGTAGGCAGCTGGCGTGGGTCGCGGGTGGCGAAAGGCACACCGGGGGTGATATAGCCCCTTATCACTAGTCTCTGAAACAGGACTAGATTGCATACCTGGGTGGGTACGCGCCTGACGCTTCGATGCATATTGCGTAAGGGGACATGCAGGAAGTTGCGGTTCACTGTTCAAGCCGGGCTTTGTGTAAGCAGGACGTTGGCACAGCTCGTAATGTTTCTGGTGTGAATGAGCCATGTGGGTGTGCGAATCATATGCATTTCTGGCTATCCCGGTGTGGATTTTCTAGGAAAAAGCAAAGGTATTACGTCGTATGAATTATGAATGCAATACTCGCTTTGTCACGAGTACTGTCGGATGTGGTATCTTAGCATTGATCTGTTTTGTTTTCCTAATGTGGTATCTAGGTGATGCCTTGGGTGTGGATAGTGGTAAGGCTACTTGCCAGCAATTTATGGATGGAGAGGGGGAGGCAGCACCATCTGACATTGATAGGGGTATTTTTAAGGTTTTATGTACAAAATCAGTGATGTAGCAAGGGGTGGCAATAGGGTCTTGCCCGACCTCCTGAGTCAAGATGTTTATGCCAGATATTGATAGATTTCACAGAATGCTGCTCAAAATTTGTGGTGTCTCTTAAAATTGATATGTACTACCCTGTGAGGAAAATTCTGGCTACCCACCTATGCAAAGTGGATATATTTTTGCACAAAGTCTTATGCTTAACTCTGAACCATCAAATTTGGTCTTAATATGCAGCAGCACCTGCTTAATAATGTGGTAAATCAGCACCACCTGGTATGCTAAGGATACAATATCATTTTTAGTTACGGGGCTCTCAGTCATGGTATGCATTGGTGCCTGACACTGCAATTTTGAATTATTCACAGATCAATGTTTTTAAGATATAAGACACCATAAGTAATCATAGAACTGGAAAATTCCACAGACATCTTATCATCTTACCTTAAAAATATAATAATCATAATCACAATGGCAGAGGTCAGTCAAATGTTGGTATGCCACCCTGATCACACAGACATTAATAGGACATCAGTTGCAGCACAGCGCATCAGGTGGAAGAGGTTTGTCAGGTGACACTGGTATGGTCAGACTGGACTGGGCCGGGCCGGGCTGGGCTGGGCTGGGTTAGGTTGGATTCTGGTCTTTTTCCCTATTTTATGATTATTTTTTATATTTGCTACCTTAGAGAAAATGATTTATGTGTGATGCTCTTTTGTAATGTAAGGAACTTATGTCAACCTTCTTTGCTCACAGCTTGTGTGAAGAAGATATGATTGTTGTCTAAGTGGCAGTGCAAACAAACTATGCTGGTGTGAATAGGCTAATTTGCAATTTATTGATCATTCACAAATTGGTGGCTTAGTGGACTGATGGCCTAATCTGATCAACTGTTAACTGCTGGCACCTGGTAGGGTGGAATGTAGCAATGGGATGGGATACCAAGCTTTTCACCATATTTCAATGATGCTGGGATGCAATAATGAAGTAACTACAGAGGTTACATCAAAGTGTGCTGAATCATGGGTCAGCCTTTCATGAATGCCAGCTCAAAGTCAACCTCAATATGGAACTAGTTAATGCATGTTAAGGTTGCATTTGATGCTGGGAGCAAGTTAAGTTGTTTATTTCATCATTGTTTAGCTGCACTCATCTTTCCCAGTTCATTAGGTTTTAGAAGGACTGAGGAGTGTTTATTGATGTTTTGTCATTTGGTAAGCAGGGATAAAAATGGAAGTTGTGCACTCTTATGCTCACAATAAATGACCTTCATTGTGCTAGGCGGCACTGGTCAAACAAGGTATCTTGCGAGCATTGGTACAAAACTCTGTGTTTAGTCTGGATTTGCAGTGTGCAAAGAGATTTGGCAAGAGTCACTAGCCAAACAAGATATAAATGAAGCATGGGCACAAAACCCTGTTTTTGAAAGCTATTCTTATGATCATGCCTAAAGAAGATCAAGCAAAACATGGTAGTTGAAAACTCATGCACATAACTTAATGTCTGTGTCAGATTCATAACCTCGATGTGGAAAAGCCTGTAGTTTGAAGCATTTCTTGCTTACATGAAAAAAGAAATGATACTATTCCTTTTGAATTCACCAGCAGCTTCTGTCTCCCACAAAATTCCTGCATAAGACTAATTGTCACACACACTTGTCAGATGAAGTTTTATACCAGGCAATGAATGCTATCTATTGTAATGCATTACTTGAGATGGGTGGCCATTTGGCATGGGCTACAACACAAAAAAGAAGACAACAGACTAATGTATGGATGGTAACCACGAGCCGCAATTGGCAGCTAAAAGGCCGTGACCAGTCCAAGAGCAATGTGCCTTGACAGTGTGTTGATGACATGTAAATGGGGATGTCACATTGGGTTACCTTTATACATGCTTTAAACGTCAAGTGTGTGTATAACTTAATATTCCACCAAAAGTGGGTTTTTTTGCTACACCTTAGCTTGCATCTGTAGGAAAGATCAGGTTTACAGGCCTTGTCTTGCTCTTTTTCAAGAACGCGCATGGGGCGACGCGGACTTTCACGCTTGGACTATCTGGTGGGGCGGGTTTTCGGAATCTGGAAAAGTGGCAGCAGGCACGTCAGCCCGATGGGAGTTGAGTATCACGTGTTGATACTGCTATTATCGTGGCGTTTTTGTGTGCTGTTTCGGGCCAATTGGTCGCAATTATTTGTGACTTTTATAGAGTTCGGTGTGTCGCTTTAGTTTTTGTATGAAACTGATCCGTTTCCGTGATCGGAGGGAAGGATGCTGGCCCGTAAACTCGGAGGGACTGGGTAAGAGTCCTAGCGCTGGCGCATTGTTCGGCCCGACTGAAACGGAAAAGTCAGCTGGCAGCTGGCCAACGAGGGGTTCAACCCCACCCTTGGGCTGCCGTACCGCATCATGGTGCGGCGCGTAAAACCCTTTGCGTCACTGCCTGGCGAAAGAGTGGTGGCAAAATTGTCTATTGAACCGAACGGTACGACTTGGGTGGTGGGTTCAGGGTCAACAAGCCATGCTTAGCAGGTACATTAAACCGAAAGCCACCCCTAAAACATTAAGGAAAATAAAATTAAAAATATTTTGGCTCATTGTAAGGATCGTTTTACTCTTTGCGGGACCAATCTTTTGAAGTAGGCCTGGAACAACTGATAAGATACTACCTTGTCCGACGCAATCTCACGCAAGCAACTTCTTATGATATTCTTTGTGTCATGCCTGCCTGCTGGCTTATGACCGAGTTCGGCTCCGGCCCGACCCCGGTCAGCCGAGATGTGCGGGTCTCACGGCGGCGCCGGGCCTTTCCGGCGGAAGCCACCAGTGCCGCTTGTGTGTCAGTTGCGGCTCCCGGTCCAGGCAAATGCATCGAGCCCCGTAATTCTTTTCAGACTTCGTTCTCGCAACAAGCAATATGTGTGAAGCTGCACCTCCGTACGAGACAGACATAGCCATGCTGACGGAACTAGTTGCCGATCATTTTACGTCCTCCAGTTTGTTCGTGTTGGAATTTGCAATGCCCTAACAGTGTGTGACCACTGGCTCTCAATTTTTTTGACATACGGGATATTGAATTCGAAGGTGCAGTAACTTGTGCCTTCCGACCGTTCTTTTGTGATGATACCGTTATTTTTATTGGTTGTCGTTATGCATTGATCGCAATTCATGTCCTGTTGCATTTGTCTTGCCGTGATGCATCATGAAAGCCATCATGATTTCCCGCGCCGTTTAAATGCCACTGGTAGTCACGGTGAATCCCTGTCATCCTGCTGATCATGCTGTCCTGTGTTAGGTGCGCACGAGGCCTGGTCGGCCGCCCTGCTGTGATCATCATCGGCAGCCTGTTTCCGTCCGCCGCGGCCCGCCTGCTGCGCGGCTCAGCGAGCCTGCTGTCGCCGCGCCGCTGCTGCGCCATGGCCGGCGCGATATCGGACCGGCTGGTCTGGATCGACCTGGAGATGACCGGGCTGGACCCGGAGCGGGACCAGATCCTGGAGGCGGCATGCGTCGTCACCGACGGCCGGCTGCAGCCGCTGGAGCCGGGCCTGCAGCTGGTCGTGCACCAGCCCGACTCGGCGCTGGCCGCCATGGACGAGTGGTGCCGCGAGCACCACGGTCGCTCGGGACTGACTGAGGCCGTACGGCGCAGCACTGTTGACCTGGCGACGGCCGAGCAGCGCCTGCTCGAGTACGTGCGCCGCCTGACGCCGGCCGGCCAGTGTCCGCTGGCCGGCAGCAGCGTGCACATGGACCGCGTCTTCCTGATGCGGTACATGCCGCGCCTGCTCGCCCACCTACACTATCGCATCGTGGACGTTTCGTCTCTGAAGGAGCTGGCGCGCCGCTGGCGACCGGACGTGTACGAGGCCGGCCGCGGCAAACTGTGCGCCCACCGCGCGCTCGAGGACATCGGTGAAAGCATCGCCGAATTGCGCCTATATCGGGACCGCTTCATCAAAACGGAGGCGTAGGTGCTGCACTCCTCCGGCGCCGCCACGGAGCCATTATTCGGCGTTCGATGTGATAGTCGTCAACACGGGTTCCACGCACTCAACGCTAGAAGTCCTACGTCATCAGCGCTTTCAAACAGGAAGTTTTTGTCACACACGTCAACGTCACCATTTATTCTGTTTGTCACTACCTCCTTTACCACCATATGCTGCCAGCTGTGCAATTACCGTGATACTGACCGACTGACCCATGAGACCAATAAGATGAGTGGAGACAATTTGCGGTGTGACGGAGAACGTGTGGGTAAACCACATGAGAGTCGCGCGCGGCTTCTCCAGGTGACTGAGAATGCAATCTCGACACAGCCGCAGTTGTTTACAAGCTCGATCGCAGAACGTTTCCCTGGCGATAAAATAGGCAGTGTGTTGCAAAGCACACCACTAAGTACATGAGCGACGAGGGTACATACTACCCACGTGTCCCTGGCAATTCAAACAATAATGGACCATTGCACTTACGATAAAGAACATGACCATGTAACTACGTCGGGCATGAAAACTACCGCGATCCCTGCAACGAGATCGCAGTTTTCGTTGCACCATTCACGTGCCTCCCAGCGAGTTATCTAGTTAAAACGGAACGCATAGCACACGTACAGTTAAAAAAGAGCACGCGACACACTGGCATATGCGACCACCGGGGAGCAGGAAGCTAGAGACAGAGAGCCTCTGCCTGTTTGGACACACCCAGGACCGCTTTGGTGTTGCGTGGAAACCAACGACGCAAAGGGCGCGTAAGCTCACTTCTGACTCGGTGTCCGCCCGACTGCGCTTGCGCAAGCGCGGGCATCCATCTCGTGCTCGAGTATTTTGAACGGAAAGTAGTGCGGCTCTCGTCTTCTACCTACAGCTTAAAAAGGTTTGGCACCTCTTCTCGTCAAACCCTGTCGCGCAGAATCCAAACTCTCGGCCCTTGCCGGCCCGCACAGGCTGGCCGGGACTGCCTCTCCGCGTGCAGACGGTACTGCAGGCGGTACGTCAGCGTCGGGGACGGCCGCGTCGCCAGCAGCCGGCTGACTCGCACTGGTGTCGCCATCTTCGGTGTCCGCGCCGTCGGGTGGGAGCGACGACTGGGCGAGCGGCCAGAGCAGGGCCAAAAGCCAGCGGTGGCCCAGCACGGACCGCACGTTCTGTTGCCAGCCCCGGTCAAACTCCCGCAGCCGGTGCTTGCGCTCGTACTGCGTCTGGCCCCGGAGCAGCGCGGACAGCTGCGTGTAAAGGATAACTCTGCGGAGCAAGGAACACTACCATCATTTGCCACTCGTCTGGCCGGAATTGACCTGGAACCGCACGAAGGATGTTACGCGATATGCACCTAGAAAGGACCTGCGAGGTTAAGCAATAATCTATTTTTCGTCTTGACACAGTGCACCACGGGCGATACAACACCAACATACAGCTGTTTCAAAAAGCCACTATAATACTTCTCACGAAGGTCGGAACTTGATAGATACTACACTGAAATGATGTTCGTCGAACCAGCACTGAGGCAGATACATATCCGGCAGAAAGTCCACCTTGCAAGACAATTTGACCGTCAGTGATGATCTCTTGCTGCAACACACATGCGGCCACGGCAACATGGTCAATCGGCTGCCAATTTTGACCCAAAACAACGATGAGCTTACAGTTATTTTGGTTCTTGCAATTGCGAGCAAAATATGGCACAAAACAAATATTTAGGGAGGGTATTGGCCACAGTAAACAGGGCTAGACACCTGTGCAGTTTCCGTGACTTCCTTTCTCTCACAGCCGACCTATCTCGGTTTAAACTAGCGTCCGGTCTTCGAGGCCGGTTTCGGAAAAGGTAACTACAATCACTACCCAGGCAGTTGCTGGAGAATCACCGGACATGACAGTTTTGAGATTCGTTGGCGGGCCCCAAATTCGGTTCACGTCTCCCGTCTTCTCTCGCCGCTGTCATCTAACATAAAGCCTTAAAGAATGTTCTAGACTGCGTCAATCCATGTCCGTTGTGCACGAGGGTTAGTGACCATCCGCACAAATGAACTCACATTCACCTAGATGATTGTCCGTTTTCCCCCGCAAATTTTATTATTCTCGTTTCGCTACATCAGGTGGCCGAGATCTGAACTCGGGGCCAACCTACGCTGTTCAGTTTTTGCATGCTCAAATTTTAGATTTCAACGTTCACCAACGAGGGACATGTACCTCATAAATCATAACTGCATGATGTCCCAATACTGCTGGAAAAGTTAGGCTGCACGGAGAGACAGCATGCAGATGCTTATCTGTTTTAAGTGTACAATTTTTTTAAAGAGTTCACCCTCTTGTTGAGAAATCGCTAGTAATCCAACACCAGCGCCGTCGGTGCAGGCGTGCAGACACTGATTGCAGAACCCCACCAGTCGGCGTATGGTCACGTGACGCAGCTGGGCTTACCCGGCGTTGACCAGGACGGCGGTGCCGAGCATGTGATGGGCGCAGGCCACGAAGCCCCAGAGATCGAGCACGCCGAACGGCAGCACCAGGTGCGGGGCCAGCAGCTGCACCGGCAGCCAGAGCGAGTACCTGGCGGTCCAACACAGCGGCCACCGGTCAGACCACGCCGGTTTTGCCCGGCCAGGCGCAAGCGAACGCAGTATTCGACTTATATCAACAGCACAATTCGGCAGTGGTATTCGTACAGGCGAAAAAAACGTCGGCTAAAAAGCACTTATCTACGGGGCTAGGGAACCATTCGAAATTCGATGTCAGGTACTGTGGAATAAGAGTGCCCGAGAAAAAGCGTTGTGGCATGTTCGGCGAACCAAACATCATCCAGGATTTGGGGAACACAAGCAATAAAACCAACTGAGGCGTCACACAATCGGTACATTGTTACCGGGTATCATTCTCGCTTACCAGACAGGCAATATTTCTCCTACCAAAAATGCTTCGGTATTTTTCCCAACTGAAAGCATTACAGATCAACCATAGTTTTACTATGTATTGCAATGGTATACCGTTCGTCTCAGATACTGCAAACGAATTGCAAAGAAAACGCTGTCACAGTGCTTTCTCATGAACTGACGCGTCTTTGGGATGAAATCGTGCTCACAGCATAGGGCCTTGATCCAACAATCGAAATAAGTTTTCGGCAAGCTTCTCGTCATCTTTCATGATCTTTGTGCAAAATTATCAGAAGTTTAAAGATTTGCATCTAGATATCCAGATGCATCCCTGATATTCCTGCACTAACGACCCGTAATACGTTGCGCACTGCCTTCATGCTGCTTTTTCAAGCTTTAGAAGCGTTTCCGCTTCGCGACTTTCAATACATGACAATAACAATGCTCATGTTGCGACAGTCTTATTCGCGAGAAGCATCAGTTTGTCCAGTAAACACATAAAGGGCCTGCTATTCCGGGGAGATCACGACCTTGGCATGATTGCTAACTTTCACTGGAGGTCGCTATCAATACCGGAGCTTGGGGCCATGCGTGCGCACCAGCGCACGCACGCTGTCGCGTCTAGAAGCCTGGACGCGACAGGCATAAAAATCTTAAAGTAAAGTATAAATTTCAGCGACCCGAGTCCAATCGTTTCAAGAGCATGCCTTCAAACCAAGGGGCCAGAATCTACCAATCGCGCGGAATAGCGTTTAGCTAATGCTCGCATATCGCGACAGAAACACACATAAATAACGAAGTTGCGACGGTTAAACCGTGAAAGATCCCCTATCATTCACTGTTTTTGAATGCGACAGGAGTTGGGCCAAACACAAAGGAAGTGAACAAAGCCAGCCACTGCTAGGCCAAATCAGGGCTGGCGGCGCCAATGCAGCCAGCCTCGACATCAACCAAGTCAAACTGGAGCAGAGGTACTGACCCGCCAGCAGCAGCCACCACCATGGACCACTCGTACACCAGGCCGTAGAGGGCCCCGACGAACACCGCCAGCACCCCGCTCACGAAGTAACGGTGATTCCGCAGACCGACGCAGCACCCTGCAAAAGCGGAGGGGTGTCCGTCATAGGGGCGCAGGAGATCACATGCGCACCACCCCGCGGAGGCCCCATACTCCACAGAGCACCCTGCGAGGGCGGCATGGAGTCTCGGGACACCGAGCACCCCGCAAGGGCGACATGAAAACACGGGGCAATGCGCGGAAGGGGTGTGGCGCGCGATCCCCATCGCCCAGGCTGCACGTTTGATTCGTAGCATGCTAGTACAGGCACCTAATACAGCTCTCCACAGCTTGTTTGGTTTTGCGCTTTTCCCGTCTTGTATGTATATCTTTTAACCCAAGATTACATCTTATCAAATATTCATAAACATTCTAAATTATCTTTAACTTGCTTCTGCTCCTTGAAATGACATGCCTGATAGAATGCTTTAAATCAGATCAAGCACCACCCCTCACCTGTAAAGATGCAATGATGGTCTCTCTTTTCTATGCATGTCTTGCACATGCTACAGTGGTAAGACCTGACAGGCTGCATCACTTGGCAGGACGGGCAGAATGACACGCCTGGAAAGAGTTCAACATATGTCCACCAGCAATGAGGGTAGATCATCTAACCTCATCCCTTTACAATGGCATCCAAGTTTGTTTGGAGCATTTGCATTCCCTGTCACTCCGAGGAAGGTTCTTGGTTTGGTACACAGTTGCCGCCAATTCCAGGGAATCGATAGCCATTGTTTGACGGCCTTATGATACGGCTAAGGTACTTTCAGGCAGAAGTAGTCTGAAAACAATGTTGCAAACAACCATAATTCGACAATTCAGTACAATTTGGCCTGGCTAGAGTTTGGCGCACAAATCTACCAGGTCCAGCGCACCAATGTGGGGTAGACTTCAAGCACAGTGAGTGGCTATTTAGCATATTGTCCGAGTACACAATGCGGTGTCACCGGCTAGGCCTCGCACTTCCTAACATTGCATGAATCATCTATATGCAACGCAAAACCCATACAATATTGGTACAAACAGGTGTACAAGACGTCATGAATACGTCTAGCACCTTCATTTAGCTCCATCTGCCATGTAATGGCAATCATGCGCGTTTTACCTCACACCCGTCCCCACCCAGTTCGTATCAACCGACGCATAAATCCTTGGTACAGCCGTCAGCTTATTGTGCAAAGTTAAGACCATTTCCACCTGAGTGTACGGCGACGCCACCATCCTTTCAATCGTCCCGCACAGGATAGCACGGGACTGCCGAGACCGCACTGCACAAGACGGAACCAGCCGCGATCAGACGAAACGGGAGAGAGCTGAATGGAACCGAACGCGATCACACGGAATCGGAGATACTGGTGAGACGCAATGAGGCCCAACGGAGACCAAAAGAGGCCCGGAAGTGACCAAGCCAAGCCGGGCGGGATCAGCCGATATTGGATACCACCCAGCATGACCGATGGGAACTGAACCGAACGGCACGGGAACCGGTGCCGTTCGTTTACGGCTGGACCAAACGGTTAGAACATGATGAGCCCATACGGTATCAGGCAAGATCCGGTTCGGACCGGATGAAGCAGCACGGAACTGTATGGTGCCACTCACAACCTGACATGATCAGACAGGACTGGGCGAAACTGCATGGTGATGGATGGGACCGGATGAGACTGGATGAGACTGGATGGAAATGAAAGGGACTGGGTGGGAATGATGAGACTGAATGGGATTGAATGGGACTGGAAGGGACTAGAAAGGTCAGGACAGGACTAGACAGAACCAAATGGAACCAAACCAAGCCAGACAGGGCCGGGCGGGACCACAGGAGGCTCAATAAGGCTAGATGGGACCAGATGACACCAGACTCGACCACAGGGGCCCAGACAGGGCCGGATGAGACCAGACAGAACCAAACGGGTTCCGCCTGGTCTCATCTGGATCCCAAACAGGCCTCGCTTAGTCCTGCCCAGGCCTCTTCTGGTCCCATTCTGTCCCATACGGTCCCCTTCTGTTTCGTTCTGTCACGTTTGATCCCATTTTGTCCAGTCCAGTACCATCTGCTTCATTTATCCTAGTCGCATCCCTTGTCGCCCAATCATGTCCCTATGTGTCAGGTTCTATCCAGTCCCATAGAGCTATGTCCAGTCTCACCTGGTCCCACATCCCATCTGGCTGCATCTGATCCAATCAGGTCTCATCCTGCTTCATCCTGCACCACCCAATCCTGTATTGTCCCATCTGGTCCCATATAGTCCAGCTGACCTCATCACATTTCATCCCCCTCCACATGACCCAGCACCCTGGCCATATGCACGTTCTGTCTGTACCTGTCCAGTACCACCCAGCTCCATTGTTTGGGTCATGTCTGGTGCATTGGTTGGGTCATCGAGGGACCGGACGGTCCCTCGACCCCGTCCAGTCCTATCTTATCTCCACAGGCTGACCATCATCTGATGTGACATCATCATGCAACCAGCTGGAAGAATCAGCAGCCTTCACTCTCTTTGCATAACCAGCTGACACCCACGCCACAAATTAATGGGTCAGTTGATGTGAGCTGGGCAGGTGAGATTTAAGGGAAATCCTATTTATTTCATAATCTGGCATATAAGAGTTAGAGGAATGTGTTTCAAGCATTTAAAAATGTCTGGGGCATCTGCTGTTGTTGATATCAAATGGTTTGTAAGCATAATTGAATTGATTCAGATTGTTTTAATCAGTGTGAGCCCTATGCCAACAACACCCACAAGGCTGCAAAGCTGGTTGGCATCCCTACCAAAACGCTTTAAATGGAACTTACCCCGCCATATTGCCGCATCCGATGTGCACGGTCGGTTTCACAGCAGTGTCTATATGAATCACCTTGGAGAAATTTAGCAAAATGATGAAAACCAAATATCCCCCCATTAAGACATGCAAAAAAATAACTGGTGAAAAGCTTGAGTAGTATGATGGCAGCACCACTAATCCTTCCCATATTAAGGCATATGGAATTCCCAGTGTCATGAACCACGACAATGCCCTTTCCTGCCATCGAGATGGGGATGATCTCATGGCAACTCAAGATCGAAATGTCGTACGGTATTCCCCCAGTGACGGTCACCTACTTTTTATAGCGCCGAAAACGGGCCCATGGTAAAAGTTTGTTGAAGACACAAACCATAAATCAAAGGAATCGTTTCAATAGCAAAAAGATTGCCGATTCCATCGCATCCCCCACTCAACCTAACCCGGCCCTCCCCCACAAGACCGGTGCAGGCAAGGCGACAGGGCCCGGCGAGGGCCAAGGAGATGTAAAGAGGGGAAAGCCGTCCGGTGATTCTCGCTTCTTCTTCGCTTACCATTAGCGTGACGTCACTGTTGCCGAGACACAGCAATGCGCGGGCGAGTTGCATAGTGCCGGGGGGCAAACGGGGGGCGTAATGCTTGAGGGGGGGGGGGGGGACAAGCTGAGCATCAAAATATTCGCACATACAATGAAAAGCCGTTAGCGGTAGATATTTATTGACAGCAAGCCGATTATATAAAATTTTATGACGAACATGACGATGTACTTGACAGGCCTATGCGGCGTTTTTACCGAAAGCAGCAAAACTGTAGGTCGTCATTTTCCGGACCTCTCGGCAATGAGACTCTACACACGCTGACCCTCTTTCGGGACTCATCCTGGTTGTTAGTAGCCGGCGTCAAATTAGATGCGAGCTGTATCGAATTTCATCCCAGCCAGCATGCCCAATCAGGACCCGTGTGGGTCACAGTTGGGCAGTCATATGGGGCCCACCTGGGCTGTCCACTTTGGTCCTATGTGGGTATGTCATGGGCAAACACCTAGGTCCCATATAGGTGACCCTTGTTGGGCCCATGGGGGTCTAACCGGGGCACACATGGGACCCATCTAACGTTTAAAACCGAGACCCAGGTAGGTCCGAGATGGGCAACCAAATAGGGCTCGCCTGGGTTGCCACCCTCGGGCCCATGCGGACATGTGATGGGCAACCAGCTGGATCCCACATGAAAGCCCATTTGGGGTCCTTGTGGGGCTTAGCTGGGACACACATGGGACCCACCTGGGCAGCCCAGGTGTGACCTATCATGGCAGCCCAGTTGGGACCCGCCTGGGTAACTCAGCTAGGGCCCATACGGCTGGGACCTGGGACAGTCCAGCTGAGACCCATATAACCAGCCCAGATGGGACCCAGATAGCTAGCCCAGATGGGACCTTTTCAACCATCCCAGGTGGGGTCCCAGTTGGGCTTCAACGATCTGTCATTTCAAATTCAATCTGCTTTGCTCGACCGTGGTAATTCCAGGCAGACTGCTTTATGTCAAGCTTGTATATATATATATATATATATATATATATATATATATATATATATATATATATATATAGGGATATGTAATAAGCCAGGCTAAAGCTTGTTCACCAGTTAGGTGTCGCCGTTGCCGCCGTTTACAGTGCGATGTTTCCTGCCGTCGTCGCAGTCTCTTCGGCCGAAACTATTTTCCTGATACCTATTTCGTTTTGTTGCGGGAGACACCGTAGCGCGATGTGTTGCGCAGGAGGGCCCGGAAAATGGCGATATTCAGTACCTTAGATCACTGCACCACGGCCTCAGTGTGGGTGATATATTCATGTACACCGATTTGTTTATGCCGTTACCCAAGAAACAGGTAACCAGGAGTGCTCCTCCCTCAATCCCAGCGACGCAGTAAACCGTACGTTAACACCAGAAAACATAAAATAAAGTCGCGGCACTCCCAGCTAGGAAGATGAAACAAACGTAAATAAGCAGGCGAAGAGGTAGTGCAGACCCGAAGGAATTGTGTTATGTAATAGGTAGGGGAAAATCATAGATGAGAAGGCTTAAAGTAGTCATTAGTCAAAGTCATCTAATGCAGCCCGCTATAACAGCCCAATAGCCACAGCCACCGTGTTAGTAAGGACTATACGGTCACACAAGTCGGAGGGGGCAATCACCTGGTCATTTCCGTGCTGGGTTTTGAGCTGGATGTCAGGGAGTCCACCCAGCTAAGCAGGGCTTGTTGCTGGGAGAACTCCCGGTTTTTGACATTTTAATACTAAAGAACTGATCTTTTGTGGAGTCGCTTACCGAGGTTGACATAATGAGAGCATCTATGTCGAATAACAGCGCAAAAATTCACTACACATGCCCTCTCTCGGAGTACATGTGTGGAAAAGCTTAACGAGAGGTCACTTACATGGATACTTCTAGCTGTCTATACGGGAATAAGATATTGTCTCGATAGATCATCTTTTTTCGAGCGGCTGCTTTCGGATCCACTCACTCACTAAAGGATGAATTTGGGTCGTTTTAGGCACTCGCTCTTTACCCGTGCAATGGACGGCCTGCGGCTGATGGCAACAAAAGCTGTTGTCAATGATTGATACGTGCACTTGTTAAAACTGCCTTAAATACATAATAAAACAAGAAATTTCCGCAAAACACTGTCAGTACACTTTCAAAAGAATTCTGCCACTTCTCTCTTATGCTACGATCTGAAATTTGGTTTGTTTATGTTTACCCGGGAAAGTGGTCAGAGAAAGGAAATAGATAAAATGGGATTGTCTTTGCCCTGTTCATCTTGTGGAATTACCAATAATTGTGGTAAGGAAATCCTCGCGTAAGATCGATTAACGTGTGGTCGTCATTCATACATTTTGCTAGAGGTCGGGAAGAACGTCGAAGTGACATCTGTTAAGAACGAAATGGACGACTTCAGGTTACGGTCACAGTTTGCGACGGAGTGAGCCGATCACACCCGGTCACGTAACACCGGCCAGCGCGCTCATGGCGTGCCGTCGCGCGTGATCCGCCAATGTTCAATTTCGATTTGCGACTGATCTAGAAGGGGCCCCTTCGATTTCCTTTTTAGGCTGAATGGTTGCAGTTTTTCAATAGCATATCTGTATAAAGAAAATAGGAGGGATCATGCTTTTCAGAAAATGCGCAAGTGAAAAGGTCAAACAAAGTCATAATGTCTACCTTATTAAACTTGCATGATATATTGACCAATGCCTCGCAAAACACATGCACGTAGTATTCTGACGCATTTTCCCCAAGTATAGTTTTGTTAGAATAAGTGGAAAAATAGAGTTCGTGACAACAGGAGCCACAGCCAAAGCTTTGGTAAGGGGGGAAGGGCACAGAGTTGGCAAGGGGCCCCATAAATCGCCGATGTGACCATTTGTTATGGAAAAAATATTTTACTTCTATATATATATATATATATATATATATATATATATATATATACACACATATAGGTATGCATGTATGTATATTTATCTTCTATAAATGGAATATAGACCAGACGCTACCACCAGATCAATTCCGCTTTAAGCTTATAGTAAATAAACTGACAAAATCATGCGTTAAATGACTATATGAAACAACTTGCTGACGCTCTTCATTTTACAATGGTCCGGTGGACTCTTTTTAAGCTGATTGAACTCAGAAACTTCGTTAGAATTTTTTTAGGTTGTACATAAATAACTGGGATTCTGCGAGTGTAAATTGGATATCTAAATGGGTCAACAATTTGTATTACCCATCTGAATATCTTCAGTTTCACTCAGATTTTATAAGTGGTACAAATTATGTGACGTAGTTTTGAGCATGCACCCTCGCATATCAAAGGAACAAAAAACTTGACGGTAGGCGTTGCAACTTCCTTAGGCCGCCCAGCTTCCGCCCCGCGGCTTATGTAAGGCCGTGGCCAACGAATGAACAAAAATAGTGACGCATCTGAAAAAGTACCTTTAAACGTCTTCCGTCACTAATTGTAAAAGTTTAGAGATCAGAGATATTCCCGGCGTATCTATCATCTGCGTAGCCCTTAGATTGATGACAACAACATATTGATCTTTTCAGCACCGCGAGGTGGTGCTGAAATCTGGCTGTGAAACTGAAAGAGTAAAGATAAAATCTCTATTTGTCGTATGGGTGTAACTATTAGCCCGTCCAGTGCACAACGCAAAAGCTGTAAAACAAGACTTGCCCTTGAACTGTGTGAATTAATTTTGGAAGGCATTCAGAGACATTCTTTTACCATGGTCATTGTTACACGCTCGGCGTGATCTCTGGCCGAAGCAGAGGAACGCTCTGTCTCAATGGCTCCTATCGGTGCAAGGGGTCATCTTAATGACATTTGAGATCACGGCCCTATAGGCGGGGGTCATAAATGTGACCTAAAGTCAGCCCTTCTGACCCTTCAGCCATCCCATCGGGCCCTTGATCTTTGGTCTCGAGAGACCCTTCGGCCCCTCTTGGGGCCTATCAAACACCGCTCCGACTCGGGGCCATTTGTCGCCAGAGAAGCCCTGTTCGGCACTGTAGTGCCTAACCTACACAAAAATTGCCCATTGTGCCAGGGACCTCGAACATTGCAAATCGCGAACGCCGGCCTCGTTTCTGCTTGAGGAATGGCACTCAATGGCTCTGACGGACATGGAGCCGACTATTCGGTGTTCGTGGCCTCTGACCGACCTAGACCTACATGGTCTCAGAGGTTCCTTAAACGGTACAAGAGGACCTATGACTGATATTTCAGGTCACAACTCTACGGGTTGCGATTCTTTATGTGACCTATTGGCAGTCCTTTAGGCCGTTATGCCCTCCAACCGGGCCTGTGATTGTCGGTTCTAGTGGCCGTCAAGGCCTCTCTTAGGGCCCCATCAAACACTTCCCTTCGTCGGCTCGGGCCCTTGCAAGCACAGGGCCCACTGTTAGGCGCTGTGTGCCCCTGACAGACACAAGGCTGCCGACCAGGGTAAATCACTGGCCCCGGCTTTATAGCTGATTGGGAAGTGGGTTCTCAGGCCCATACCGACACGGAGGCGACTATGTGGTATGGTGGTGCCTGACCGACACATAGGCCTGCATTGACTCAGTGAGTCCCCGATCAGCTCAAAGGGCCTGATGACCGTTATTTGAGGGTCCGTCTTTGTAGGTCTGGGCCCCTGAATAGGACTCCGTCCAGTCTTTTACGACCTTAGACCCTTCAATCGGGCCCTCGATCGGCGGACCAGGTGAGCTTTAGGCTCTTCGGGCCTCCTCGAACACTGCCTCTGGCCGACTCGGGGTCTCTTGACAACACATGGCTCCTGTTAGGAGCTATGGAGCCGCGAGCAATGTACGTCGCTGGTTCCTACTTTGTTGCTGCTTGGGAAATGAACCCTTAAGCCCATGCTGTCACGAAGCCGACTGTGCGTTGCTGGTGGCGTCTGACCAAATATATGCCCCTTTCGACTCAGTCGGCCGCTGATTAGCGCACAGGGCCGTCTGGCTAGCATTTGGGTGCCCGGCCTTGTGGGCCGGGGCCCTTGAATGAGACATCTGGCTGGCTTTTCGGGGCGTTAATCGTTGGTTCCGAGGGGCCCTTCGGTCACCTCGGAACCTTAAGGGGGGACGTGTTCCCTGTGGCCCCCTGCCTGCGCTACTGCGTGACAACCCATTGAATTCTACGCATCTGACCCCTCGTAATATGCGTCTACCTTTAACGGTTTGCTTGTTATCAATACGAGAGCAGCTCCATATGTCAACCACCGTTCTACGGCATAGTTCTCGAAAAATGGTTTTCAAGTTCCACGCCGATTTCATTGTGATGGCTGACCGCATAAGACTGCAAAACACATTATGAAATTTGACGTTAAATTCTACGCGACAAGCTTGCTGGCCATATGCACTTGCTACTAACATTTTGCTCATTATCGATGCGAAGAGCCCACGATGTTCCGGCCGTCCTATCTCGCATAATTACCTTGCATACGTTTTCAATTATAATGGCATTGCACTTAAACTATTGTTTAGAGGCATAGGCTCGCACGATGTTCTGGCCGTCCTATCTCGCATAATTACCTTGCATACGTTTTCAATTATAATGTCATTGCACTTAAACTATTGTTTAGAGGCATAGGCTCGCAAAGCCAATCATCACACGAGCCAATGAAGTCTACGTTGTCGGTTCTCGGGTTATGTGGATCTCCCCCTAACAGTTGTTCCCTATCTGTATGGGGGTTTCTGATGTTCCGACCGTCCCAAAGCGTTACGACCCGTTGTTATTGTTGTTTTGTGGATTAGGGTGCATAGCCTCCTAGATTAAAGCGTCCATCTTGGTATTAGTACTTCAGGTTTTGGTTTTCCGCGTCTCCCTTCTCGCAAAACTTCGATCTTGCTCGGTCTCGGCACCAATGACGTCGACGCCATGCTGAAAGCCCGTGCAAACCGTACGCCTTGCGGCCACTGCGGCTGTCCATGGCGCATGTGAGGCGATACTGGGGATTGGACGGGAAAAGGCTGCACGCAAGTGTTCTAGAGTCCGACCTGCCGGATGGCTGCGTTGCGCTGAGCCAAGCACAGCTTATATTCACCGTGGGTAATGACGGTGCTTATCAGATAAAAAATCAGTGGTCAGATCATTTCCCTTCGGCCGAACGCACTTCGGAAAACGACGGTGTGGATCAGGATTATATTTGCTTGTTGACCACAAGGTAAATATAAGCATGTCTACGAGATAGTTGAGGCAGATAGAACCCTATCCCAAATACTACAGCAACCTGCATCACTTGGAACATAATCGTTAATCTTACATTTGAAAAATATGATTAACCACCAGATTGTGTTATGTTCTGTGGGATTTGTATGCAGAGCATCCCTTATGTCAATGCTCAATTCCAATTCAATGCTCAATGCTCCAATTCCACATGTGTCACAAAATGCTGGTTATCTGACCCAGATTGACAGCTGTTCCCCACATCTGCCCCAGCAAGATCTTTTCAAAGTATGTCATGGTATACAGGCTTACAGAATGGTGGTTATGGATCAGGGTTAATGGACTTGCTTAATGATCATGAGGTATCCTGAGAGCAGTGCTTAAGGTATTCTGACACTCTAGTGCATAAGGTATTCTGAGACTCTTTAGTGCATAAGGTCAGAACTGTGCTTTCAGAACTATGGTCTCAGCCACTTGCCTGCGCTGGCTATCAATGATAAACCTCACAAACAAAATGCATGCCTTGTGTAGCAATTGAATTAAAATCAGTAAACAACTATGAAGATCAGACCAGATGCAAACTGGGCAAACAAAACATGATGTGCTAGAGAGAGTTGAGCTAGACCAGTCCTTATGCCACAGGTTCAAGTGGCCCATACAAATTTAAATTCTGGCACAAAGTAGTGGTGTTGTTTCCAAACAATATACTATGCACTGACTGCCATAGTATTTGATGCTGCTTCATGAGACTGCTAATCCCTTTTATTTCCTCAGGCACTGCCAGTTGTGAGCATGGAAGCTCCAACCATTATATGCCAGGCCCTGAAGGAGCAAGTAAGTAGTCTAGCTACCGTTCACGCATTAGCTGTTGTTTTTGGATTACTTTTCCAACAAGTTGTTTTTATGTTGCTGAATTGAGACAAGTGTCAACTTGAAATATGGGCTGATTGGAGCCCTGTTATCAGCTAGGTGACCTCCAGAGTTAAAGCAATGTTTTGAGAATGTTTCTTGGATGGCTTGTTATGTTTTATGCAATTTCTGAGGGCATGAAAAATGATACATTTCAAGGCCTAGACCAGAGAGGTTCCTCCTTCCTGGAGCAGTCTCTTCCTAATCCTCGCAAGTACACTAGAGTGGTGGGGCACCATTAGTTATCTAGATCCAGTGATACTTAAGCATGTTTGCATGCATACACATGTGTATGCATGCTCACATATGCATGCATGTATACATATATGCACATACAGGGATGCATACTTAGGTACATGCATATGCATGGGCACACTGACAAGCAGCAATAATTGCTGTCATGAGGCTACAACAAGGTCGGCTGCAATATAAAGATAGTGTTAGGTTTCTGTTTGGCATTGGTTTCACAATGTAGCCTTTATCTTGAAAGACTTTGTAAGACTTAATGTAGACTTTAACTTACTTCAATATTTTCAACTGTGAAACATTCTCTTTAACCACAGAAGATGAAAAGTGTTCTTGATGACTCTGAGTTTATAAATGTTGCTCAGAAATATTCAGTGTTGGTCATGAAATAAACCAGTGAGCTGGAATAACACTTCACAGACCATATCAGCAGAAAATGTTTTCTTGAGCTGCCTTTTTGCATGCCTGTAGATGCATTAGCCCTTCAGTCACCATGTCAACTTCTGTGCAGGCACAATTAACACAGTCCTCAACAAAGATGCTCACATTGCCCATGGTATCCTGAATGCAAATGGAATGATGCCACATGCCAGATAATTCACTTGACCCATGTGCAGCCTGCGACAAGTTGAAGTATATTGTAATCAATTATAAAATCAGTTACATAGGACATTGCAAACCGGGCGGGTGTTGAGTGTCCATCAACAGGGGATTCACGTTGCCACGGTGCTCTGGTCCTAGAGAACCCTGCTGGGACCGCTCTGACGTATGGCCGCCGATGCCCGCAGGGTGTGCAGTACATGTTCGGCGTGGTCGGCATCCCCGTGATGGAGGTGGCTGTAGCGGCCCAGCAAGTCGGAATGCACTACATCGGTAAGGCGTCCTCGAGCACGCAGCATCGCTGGTCGGCTGGCTCGAGGCCCTGCAGATCTGCTTCCTCCCTTGCGCGAAAGCGGAGGAAGCAGATCGACGAATATCGGACATCTCCGTTACAGACGTGTACGGGTTTGCTGACGCGTTTTACGCGTTAGAAACGCGTACAGGTTTGCTGACGCGTTTTTCGCGTTACAGACGCGTACCGCTTTGCTAACGTGTTTTAAGCGACATATATGCGTACAGATATACTGAGGGGTTTTACGCGTTACAGATGCGTACAGATATGCTGACACGTTTTACGCGTTGCAGACGCGTGCAGGTTTGCTGACGCGTTTTAGTGTGAGACGCGTAGAGATATGCTGACGCATTTTACGCCCTAGACATGCACAGGCTGCTTGACACGTTTTACGCGTTACAGACTGCACAGATTTGCTGACGTTTTACGCATAATAGACGCGTACAGGTTTATGGACGCGTTCTACGCGTTATTAACGCGTACAGGGTTGCAGGCGCGTTTTACGCGTTGCACACGCGTACAAGTTTGCTGGCGCGTTTTACGCGTTATACACGCGTACAGGTTTGCTGGCGCGTATTACGCGTTATAGACGCGCACAAGTTTGCTGGCGCGTTTTACGCGTTATACACGCGTACAGGTTTGCTGGCGCGTATTACGCGTTATAGACGCGCACAAGTTTGCTGGCGCGTTTTACGCGTTACACACGCGTACAGATTTACTGACGCGTTGTACGCGTTACACACGCGTACAGGTTTGCTGGCGCGTATTACGCGTTATAGACACGTACAGGTTTACTGACGCGTTTTGCGCGTTACACACGCGCACAGGTTTGCTTGCGCGTATTACGCGTTGCGTCTTCACAGCACAGCTTATCATCGCGATATCAAGGAAGCCTGAGTCCAAAGTGCAGACGCCGCGGTCCGCGCATCAGCAGCCGTATCTTCTCTAGGTTATGAAAGCGGCGGGCTAGTGAATGCTGCCCGTTTTCTCAGTGCAGCGGAGTTGCTGAAATTCGTGATATGTTCAATGTGAGCACTGGGTGGATAAAAACACAATTTCTTTGCACATTGCCAAGCGTTTGCCATGCTGCTTGTTTATTAAGTTGCAGTGTAGACATGAACCGTGACTATTGCTGTATTATTGTAGCGGAGGACCGGAGTGAATCAGGCACAGTCGATGAATAACTTTTTTCTGCCACAAACGAGACGACGAAGGAAACGTTCTTTATTCATATTATCCCCCAACAGTTTCTTACGCCGAATGTGTCCCCGAGCTCTTCGGTCGTGGTCCCGTGATCACCCCTGCTTCCCAAATTACTTAATCTCCTCTGTGTCACCAGGGATGCGCAACGAGCAGTCGGCGGCGTACGCGGCACAGGCGATAGGCTTCCTGACGCAGCGGCCGGCCGTCTGCCTGGCAG